AAGTTATTTTAATTTTATATAACTTTAAAAAATATAATTACGCTGGATTTCTTGCTGTTTCTTCCCACAACAGATCGATAAGTGTTATGTAATAATCTGTTTTAAAAAAATCTATTCTATAAATATTGTATAGTAATCTAAATCTATATTAACACTGTATGTTCCATTTTCTTAAATTGACTATGAACGTGACTCGTGTATTTTATACATACTAAGTCAAAGTTCAAAAGTTCTAAAACACTGCGAGTGCTAAGGAGAGATCGTATACTGAAAGATACTAGCTGTCAGGTGCTTGAAATTTATAGCGCTTTAAGATTAATGCTTGCGACGTCAGTGCTTCACTTCGTGAAACATATTGTGTCTGTGATGTATGTATTGTTATAATGTTTTAAATACAAAAAGCACTGAACCTAAATTTAAATATATGTATATATATATATATATATATATATATATATATATATATATATATATATATATATATATATAACGACCATGCGGTCAACCTGATAAGTAACTACTAGCCTCTGTTATGTTGATGACATACATGATGATGACGATCTATATTCTAGAGAATAGTTAGATTGCAATATATAGTCGTTATGTTTTCTAGGTCTAATGACTTTAGTTATACGAAAGATAAAAAATAACCTAACTGCTAGACGTGAGCCTCCCCTTTGAAGAATTTTATTGACGTGTAGTATAGTTGTAGTATGAATGGGTCGGCTCTACCGGGGTAAGACCACGCTTTCACAAAATACCAGCGTAAAATAGCAGCTTGACACTGCTGTAAATCGTATGGTGAGTGTAAAAAACCGGATACCATTTTTACTGGAAAAGAGGCATTCTATCTTAGTCCTCACGGGTGACAACGCATCTCCATTTTGATTCTTTATTGAGGTTAGATGTGGATGTCTTTGGGTTACAGCAACCAGTTACCATCATGTGGACTGTGTACTCATTTGTCACCCTATCCTATAAAAAATCGATCGTACGTGGACTGTATCCTGGATGAATATTGGATGATATTGGATCTATATCCAGACGTTTTACCCCAATGTTAATGCTCTCTGTAGTGATCTGGTGTTCTGTCTCAAACGTTAACAAGATGACTATGACACCATTAGACGTCATGAGGTCTATTTGGCATTTCTCGCCTATTTACCACACTCACGGAACGAAATTAGGTGAAGATTCTGCTACGCAAGCAGTTCAATTAATTTATTTATTTATTATTCATTAATTTATCTTTCCCATCATTACTTCATTACAGTCTATAAAAGTCTATTGCTTCACATTAGATTGTCTCATAAGGCGGTTTATTAGGACGACACTGCTGCCCATCTTCTGGTTTGTTTCCCTCTATCGCCATGTATTACAACACACAAGGGATGATATGGGGTTGTGATTACACCGCCAATTAACGGTAAATGTTGATGTTCAAGATAAACATTGTTTTATAGGATAACGGTGACAAACGAACACACAGTCCACCTGATGATAAGTGGTTGCTGTGGCCCATAGACATCTACATCTATCCTCGTCTGCGAATCAAAATGCAGATCACCTGAGACAAAACAATACAGAGTCACCCGTGAGGACGAAGATGGAATGCCTCTTTTCCAGTTAAAACCCGTAAACTTAGATTCATTAAAGAATATAATTAAACAATGATGACAAAATTTAATGTTTTAGATAAGGAACAATTTTTAATTATTTTTAGTTAACTTTAATTGATTTGGCGCCGAACTTCAGTTCGACATTAATGGCTATCTCGAACTTCGTCTCCAATATCATATCAATAATTGCACCTTTGGTTTGTGGGTTTATTATACAGGATGAGGTAATTTGAATATTTATTAATTTTCATCCATTTCACTAACATATATTAAGTTTCTTCGTTAGCATATAGGATATTCTAATGGAAGCACCTTTCAACATGTGACCAACATTTTCTTTGATTCTTCTAATAGTATAGCAGGCGTAATTAGATGGAAGATTGTTGATTATATGTGTACGTTTATTATAAATGACAACATGATGTTTTTTTTTTCACAGCAAAAGGTTGTCTAAAATTATTTGTTCCCATGCACAGATATCGTTACAAATATAGAGTTTTTTTTAAAACTTTACCGCCAAATTAGGGTTTTCCCGTGTATCGTGGAGGCAGTTTACAAACATGAATTTCACAAGGACAAACATCCAGACACGAAACAATAATTTATAGTCCATACAAATAATTGTGCCGTGCAAGATAAATAATCAAAACCTCATTTTGTCATGATGTCGATTCTATATACATACATAATTAAAATTGAAGTATGTTTATATCTTTAATTTCGGAATAACTGCCTTTTATTGACCTGATGGGGTTATTTACATGTTATTAAGACATTGATAACCATTATATTTAATGTCTGTCTGTCTGTCTATCTGTCAGTGCTCCGGGTTAACCTTAGGAATGGCTGAACTAATTGTCATGAAGCTAGACTAAATATAGTTTTTGTATTAGATAACAAATTCTTATCTTTTGTATTAGATAAAAAAGGGTCTCCGGTTCTCTAACGGAACTGACTCAAAAAAATATTAAATTTTTAATATAATTAAACAAGCTAGACTGAAACTATTTTAAGCCAAATCCAGCCTATTGTAACGGAAAAAATATATGTTTGTACGTGGTAGAGCCATGCTGCAGCTATATTAGTAGTATAGATGTAGCACAAATAGGTCGGCTCGACCGGGGAAGGACCACGCTCTCACAGAATACCAGCGTTAAATAGCAGCTTAACGCTGCTGTGTTTCGTATGGTGAGTGTAGAGAACTGGAGATGCTTTTTACTAGAAACAAGGCATTCTATCTTAGTCCTCACGGGTGACAACGTATCTACTATCTTGATTCGTAATGAAATATAGATGAATTTAGATGTAGATGTCTATGGGCCACAGCAACCACTTACCATCAGGTGGACTCTGTGCTCGTTTGTTACCTTTATCATACAAAAAAATCATAAGATAATATATATGTCGGAGCGTCTATAAAATATCACTTGGATCGAGGTGGACATATGAGGGTATATCGAGAAACTCCCACTTGTTTGTGCAGTATAAAGTTCACTGTATGTGACGTGCGCGGGAGATTCCGCTTAAGTCATTCAACGAGTGTGGTCATTCTACTAGTGCTAAGATAGTGTCGCGGTTCTGTTCGCTTTGGTAATTCTTCTAGTGCAGGCAAGGAGAATTGGTGTTGCTGAGAGGCTGCCCTGTGTTACATTGAGATAAGTAGTGTTGCTGTTGGTTTGCATATTTTGGTGTTATCATGTAATTACGTACCTCACGTTACACTGGTGTGTGATTGCGGCGGAGACGTGTTACGGTGTGGTCGAACTGTAATTTCACTATACTGAATGTATAGTGCGTTACGTTGTCTTATTACTGATAATGATTAAACTGCGAAAGCAAGAGAGCAAGTTGAACATCCGCTCTCACACTTTTATTATTTTTAAAAATTAACGCTATCCTGATGTATTTCAGAGATCAAAATTGTGATCCCCTGTTTGAACAACTCCGACATCAGAAGTGGGATCTCCTGTTGTCATTTCCGACATATATTATATTTGAGAGTAGCAGGCCGTCCCAGCTTCACTTGGATATAATCTATTTGCAAATTTTTGTTGTTTAGTTGTTCAAGTTTTTCGGATAAAATATACTTAAATAGCCTAGATCCTTCCAGACACAGCAATCTAGATAGATAGACAGATTGTGATGAAACTTTACGAACAGATTTTCGTAAAGTTTCATCACAATCGGTTCAACTTCGAAGAGTAGTCCGGACAGACTGACAGACATACATTATTTTTAAAAATGGTTATTTATGTCGTAATGGCATGTAAACAACACCTTTTGTTTAATATAAGTCATTTATTTTAATATTACAGACAGACACTTCATGCGACAAGTGTGTATACATACACAGTTTGTTTGTATTGACAAATTAAAGGATAATTATTTATTTTACTGATTTTTAGCAAATTTTACACGTGCCACAACAGCTCATTGCGCTATTGGTTGGCTGTAAGAAAATTCTTTTTTTACCTCAGGTTTTTACAGGTGTTACAATAAAAAGTGAATGTAAATAAATAAAAAAATATTGAAACAAAAACATTTATTATATTTTAATAGTTAACAATGGAGAGATGGGCTCAATGCGAAAAATCACATAAATAGATCGGGTAAAAAAAGCCACCTTAATATTTAGTAAAATTAATTTTTTCTTTAAAATAGTTATGTAAAATTTTACGTACGAATAGATGCTGGTTCTTCCGCCTTTTCTGAAAAAAAAATTATAATAAATATTATCCATAATTGGCACTGTATAATATGTATGCTATTCTAAGGCTGTGCTTGTAGACCTAGTGGACGTATTCATGACTGCTGATCATGAAGTCCCAGGTTCAAATCCCGGGTTGGACCAAAAACAGTTATTATGTTTTTCAAGCAATTCTCAGTAGCAACCTTGAGTCAGTAAGTTGACGGTGTTCCACCTCCGTGCCTCGGAAAGCACGTAAAGCCGTAAGCCTTGCGCCTGATCTCTCTCCGGTCGTGTCGGGTTTCCGTTCCATCGGGCCATTAGAATGAGGGAATAGAGTTCACATGTGTTTGCGCACTTACTGGACAACGGAGATTAGCAACTTGCACAGATAGCCATCTGATTAGCCAATCTCCGTTCAGACTGGTTGCTGAGAAATTCGGTCTGGTCAACATCTTTATATGCGACTATCGTCTTTGCCTACCCCATTGCCCTTCTCCTGGTTTGTTTCCCTCTGTCGCCTCTTACACCACGAAACGATATAAGGTAGGGGATATTTTTACCTCGTCCATACGGGGCCAGGTTAGTGTGATAGGTATTTGGGGTATAGTATTCACTTATTATCAAGAGAAATATATGCTGGTTTGCTACTTTTTGCACTCTTCTGTAAAAATAAGCACAAATCAAAGGATAAACTAACCAGGGTTGTTCTCTTCTGGATTGTTCCATGACTGCTGGTTCGACGTAGTAAATAAGACGAAACATAAATTGGTGCAGAAGTATATAGCGGAAGCTAAGAAGAAAACTTTTCGCCACTCCAATGGATCGGTCTGTAATGTCAACATCAGTTAAAATTAAAGTTAGAGGAAATTGTTGTCTAATACAAAAACTATATTTAGTCTAGCGTCATGACAATTAGTTCAGCCATTCCTAAGGTTAACCCGGAGCACGGACAGATAGACAGACAGACAGACATTAAATATAATGGTTATCAATGTCTTAATAACATGTAAATAACCCCATCAGGTCAATAAAAGGCAATTATTCCGAAATTAAAGATATAAACATACTTCAATTTTAATTATGTATGCCTATAGAATCGACATCATGACAAAATGAGGTTTTGATTATTTATCTTGCACGGAACATTTATTTGTATTGACTATAAATTATTGTTTCGTGTCTGGATGTTTGTCCTTGTGTAATTCATGTTTGTAAACTGCCTCCACGATACACGAGAAAACCCTAATTTGGCGGTAAAGTTTTAAAAAAACTCTATATTTGTAACGATATCTGTGCATGGGAACAAATAATTTTGGACAACCTGTTGCTGTGAAAAAAAAAACATCATGTTGTCATTTATAATAAACGTACACATATAGTCAACAATCTTCCATCTAATTACGCCTGCTATACTATTAGAAGAGTCAAAGAAAATGTTGGTCACAAGTTGAAAGGTGCTTCCATTAGAACATCCTATATTATGCTAACGAAGAAACTTAATAGGTGTATTATGTTAGTGAAATGGATGAAAAATATTCAAATTACCTCATCCTGTATAATAAAGCCACAAACCAAAGGTGCAATTATTGATATGATATTGGAGACGAAGTTCGAGATAGCCATTAATGTCGAACTGAAGTTCGGCGCCAAATCAATTAAAGTTAACTGAAAAAAATTAAAAATTGTTCCTTATCTAAAACATAAAATTTTGTCATCATTGTTTAATTATATTCTTTAATGAATCTAAGTTTACGGATTTTAACTGGAAAAGAGGAATTCCATCTTAGACCTCACGGGTGACTCTGTATTGTTTTGTCTCAGGTGATCTGCATTTTGATTCGTAATCGAGGATAGATGAAGATGTCTATGGGCCACAGCAACCACTTACCATCAGGTGGACTGTGTGCTCGTTTGTCACCCTTATCCTATAAAAAAAAATATTCAAAAGATGAAGGCAGCGGGGCCAACCATCTAAATAACGGGTTAAATATGATTATTTTTACGTTATCAATAATCAGTTAAGAATTAAAATACAGATCCGACAACGGATATCTATATTTTTATTCTTAATCCTGAGAACCAAGATGGAATATCTCATTTCTAGTGAAAAGGATCTCCACTTTTCTACACTCACCGCATGAAACCTAGCAGCATTACACTGTTATTTGTACGCTGGTATTCTGTAATATCACGGTTCTTCCCCGGTCGAGCTGACTCATTTATGCTACAGTAAAAGATTATTTTAAAACACTTACCATGTACCCGGAAAATATACCAGCGTTAATACCAACGGTGACTGTTAACATTGCCACCGCCATCAACATGTTACCTTCTGGCGCATAAGACAATCCAATTAAAGCCAGAGCAGGGCACCAGAGACCTAAAAGTTTAAACAAAATCCATACTTATTTAAATGAAACTGATTTTTACGGATTTTATCGCTTATATTAACTTACTTTATATTCCCGACGTTTCGGGTACTTTACAACGCCTAAGTCACGGGGGACTGACGTGTTTGATTTACCAATATCATAGTAAGCACAGCTGCCTTCAGCTTAAAATTAAAAAATTTTGGTCTTTTTGACTTATGGACCTAAAAAAAGAGCCTACCCTTTTTAAAAGGCCGGCACTGCACCTGTAATTCCAGTTGTTAATTCCAGGTGTTGCAGTTGTTTAAGGGCGGTGGTAGTCACTTAACATCAGGTGAACCGCATGCTCGTTTGCTCCTCTTATATAAAAATCCACATATTGTAACTTTTTTTTTTAATTAAGTAACAAATCATTAAATCACATCACACAGCTCACCATCAGTAATATGAGAGTTAATGAAGAGAATCCATCACTCCATGTCTCATCTCGTGGGTATTATATTAAGGAGCTTAAATATTGGGAAGATCTTATGATCTTAACTCGGTAAAACCATTTTGTATGTGTACAAGATTTTAATATTGCATTATATAAAGTGATAGAGAAAGGTACGCTGCAGAATCTTATAATTGCGACACGAATGGGTCGGCTCAAAACTCAATAACATTAAAAAAAAAACTGCGGTTGCCAACCCGCTTGTCGAGCGTTGTTATTATAGCAAATTATTAAATATTTGTATAATGAAGCAATATTTTTTTTTTTATAGGAGAGGGGGCAAACGAGCATGCGGCTCACCTGATGGCAAGTGACTACCGCCGCCCATGAACAACTGCAACACCAGGGGAATCGCAGATGCGTTGCCGGCCTTTTAAAAAGGAGTAGGCTCTTTTCTTGAAGGTCCCTAAGTCGTATCATGAAGCAATATATAAAAGATGAAGCATTAGGTTCAGCAGTGGACTTGTAATGGACTGCAATGATTAAAATAAAAAATTCAATAATCAATAAAATATTAAGTCAAATACCTATGAAGTTAAATAATTTTCTAGTATTAGTAACGCTGATCCATTTACGTTTGATAACGAAGTCTGTAACAACACCAAATGGGTAAATCAACAGATACACCGCCAGGTACGGGAGAGAAGAATAAACACCATTCTGTAACAAAAAAAAAATGAACGTGCCGTGTACTCCGAAGTTTAGAAACAATTTATATGTGGCATTATAGTTGTAGCACGAATGGGTCGGCTTGACTGTGGAAAGACCACGCTCTCACAGTACATCAACTTAAAACAGCAGCTGTTAATGCTACTGTGTTTCATATGGTGAGTGAAGAGATATAAAGACTTTTTAAATAGAAACGAGGAATTCCATCTTAGACCATGAGGGTGACAACTCATCTAAATTTCGATTCCTAATGAAGAATAGATCTAGGTATCTATAGGCCACAGCACCCACTTACCATCTCGACTGTGTTCTCGATGGTCACGCTTAGTCTTTAAAAATATTTACTTTTATTAGTACTTTTCAATTTAAAGATTAGGAGTGAGAAGTAGCAAGTGAGCCATAAGTCCATCGGGGGAATAACCACGCCCTCACATACTTCTACCGTCAGATATCTGTGTACTCGCTAGTGCCTTCCGCTTTCATAGTAAGAGAACCATTTTAAATATAAAGTACAGTAAACATATACATAAACATAGCGTCACGTCTGTAGTTTTGGAAGGAGGCAGGCAGAGTCCAAAGAGCAGCGAGCTACTCAGAACACGTTAGTACAAAAAATATGAGCTCAGATGAAATATTGTGAAAGATGTGAAAGTTGGCTAGCTCATCGTCAAAACAGTCACACACCCAGTATCCCATTAGTTGCCTTCGACGACTTGCTAGGCAGGTAACACATTTGGCACATTCTTTTTCATACAATTTCTATATACAAAATGAAATAAAATTCAATCACGAACACTTATCGTACCTACGTTTTTACTCCGCTCTATCTTATGGTTCTATATTTTACGCATATACCATAATAATATAACGGGAAGTCTTTTGTTATACCAAAAAGTAAATAAATTACTACGTTTTGTGTCTATTACCATCTATGCCTCATTTTCCCTTATCTTTGCCCGCTCATACTGTACTAATCTATCATCAATGTAACATTCCATTTATTTCATCGTCTCATATTACACATATAGTAATTTGTTTTAGTAAAAGCCTATTTAATGATTTGTTACTAATAGTTCACCTCACTTGCAAGTTACAGTACTTGTACTTTTTTATAAAATTAGAATAACAAATGAGTACGTGGTCGACCTCATCGTAAGTGGATGCTATGGCCCATAGAAATCTTTATCTATTCTCGATTAAGAATCAAAATTTAGATGCGTTTTCACCCGTGAGGACTAATTCTACACTGACCATACGAAATAAAAGGCGCTACTTTACGCTGGTATTCTGTGGGAGCGCGTCAGTCAAGGCCGAACTATTCGTGTTACAACCATAATATATATATATATATATATATATATATATATATATATATATGATAAGAGCTTGGCTCTTCTTCCATTATAAAAGTCAAATTTGTTGAAGGTGTAAAAACATGTTGCGTGTTGCTTCGAAAAATAATTGAATCATTAATTTGTCACGTCACGATTGTCCGTTGTGGTTATTATATTAGTACAAGTGAAGAAGTTTCTTTCATCATTATCACTACTATTAGTTAGTAGGTGTTCTTTTCTACTAAGTATACTTCTAGGATCCACCCACTCACCCATTTTAAAGCACGGGGGTAACAACGCATCTATAGCCCTGTTATTTGAATTAAGTTACACATGTACAGTAGCTGCAGTAGACACTTACCATCAGGCGGAGTCTCAACTTTTTTTGTCACCACAGTTTTATAAAAAAAGAAGAAAAAGAGTTTTTCTCTTGGTTTGCTCATCTATTTTGGTGCTTGGAACAAAGACCTGTTATTTTATTAATTTTTCGGTTTTTTTACTAAAAATCTTAGAGGGTTTTTTTTGCTAACATATAGTCTGAATTCCTTTCTGGTATTGCTCTCTATCTATCTATTTATCTATCTTGGACAAACTAATTTTTTTTAAATTGTTATTTGTATTAAAAGTCAGTTAGTTAAATATTAAACACTTCTATTTAATTTATATGTAAAGACGCATAAAATATTATACTTGTTTTATGTCCACACCCAACACTTTAGCCATGTAGGTTGGCATCTCCGTCATCAAAGTAAAAAAGCCCCAATTTTGTCCGCAGTGGGCCACTACTGCCGCCCAAAATGGAATACACGTGATGATCTTCATCCATGGCGTGGGGTATTTCTGCAATATAAACTTATTTTTATTAAATTATAATATAAATATGTAAAAACTCACACCGTCACGTAGTTGTCGTAAGAGAAAAAAAAGAGGCAAACTATAACAGTAGATGTTATAGTTTGCTCTTGGTAAGACTTGCAGAAAGTCGATGGATGCAGATAGCTCGACCGTATTTTGTCACATTCCTTGGAGGAGGCCTTTGTTCAGTTGTGTTCTTGTGTCGCCTTGGGGGAACGCCCTGCGAGGCTAAACAGAGTTACTGCTGAAATGGTCAAGTATGGGGGGCCTCGCGTCTGGGACAGCTTTCATCTGCTGTGCAATTTGTGCTGGCGGACGGGGGATGTCCCGGATGATTGGCGATCCGCAGTCATTGTGCCTTTATATAAAGGTAAAGGTTCACATTTTGGAACCGGGATGGAAGATGTGATTTAGATGTGGACAGGCGTGTCGCTGCCGGGAACAAAGTCAATGGTGCCCTGACTGCGTTAGTTAAAAGGCAAGGCGTAGTGAAGAGTGCATGCCTTGCAATACATAACGCAGTGTTGGTACCGGCTTTGTTATATGGCAGCTAAACCTGGGTATGCCAGAGGAAGCATAAAATCAAGCTGAATGCAATGGAGATGCGATCTCCTCGTAAAATATTCGGCGTTACCATGGCCGACCGAAAGCGAAACGAAGAGATTCGCAATATGGCAGGTTTGAAAGATGACCTTATCACAAAAATTGATCAGGGCGTGCTTCGATGGTTTGGGCACGTTGAGCGAATGAGTGAAGACCGAATGGTGAAGAAAATATATAGCGCGTAAGTTAATATTAAAATGTGTCGAGGTAGACCGAGACTAACTTTCGAAGACCATGTGAGCAAATTGCTCAAAGAGGGGAGGGTCAAGAGTTCTCGGATACTTAGACGTGCATTTATGAAGAAGATAATGAATCTGAAAGAAGCGAAAGAGGTATGTAAGGATCGTGACACTTGGCGATCTGTTCTCTCTGGCTACCCCGTCAGGGATTGTGCGTGAAGATAAGTGTTCTTGTGCAGGACTGTAATGATGATGATAATGCTTTATACGCTTCGGTCTATAAATTTTTTTAAAACATTGAATCAAATTGATAGTTTTTGATGCAGTTTTTATTTATTAAAAAATAGTAACAACATAGAAATGTAAACACTGTGTTTCCAAGCGGTAAAGATAACACAAACCCGTGAAATCCAAGGGAGTCGTCAGTTTAATACTTATCTGATATTTGACTACTTGGTAGTGACACTGTCGTATAATCTAATTAAAGATATGTAAAAATGACTAACATAACCCCCACGGCTAGGCATAGGCCTTCTTTATTTTTCGGAAGCTTTGGTAACTTCACAGACCCAAAGTGTGTCAAACATGGAAGTCCCATGATGGTTTTCTTCATCGCCTTACTCATCTTATAGTTATAATACCGATTAACAATAAACTTTTGTTTTTAAATAAACCATACTAATTAGCCCTCAGATTTTTTTGTGAAGTACGTAAACTTAATCCGAAAATGTTTTTCCGAAATTTCTTATCAAGTTTCAAAAAGAATAACACAACAGTCACATCTCAAGAATTACATCATCAATCACCATCATCAGAATTCACATCCGTACGAAGTCGGGGCGATCCAATGCTTTAGTATATACCTACATTTAAGTTTTTTTTTAATAATATAATATAAGTTATTAATATTAATTTTTTTTTCTAAGTAAACTCACCTTTTGCTCCCCAACTCGTCCCAAGGACGTCTGAATATACTTTAATTCGTCTCGTGAGATTAGCTTCGATTGTTCGGGTGACGCTGATCCGAATATTAAATAAGCAACTGTCCACAAAGCTCCAAGAACGCCGTTCGTATAAAATATTGCTTTCCAACCCCAAGCAGAAGCTACAAATCCTGACGAAATAAACTGAAGTGCTACACCGAGTTGACTTCCTAGAAGAAGAAAATAATGAATTAAAGAATATTAGATATTCACAACCGTCTATTGTGTCAATAATAACCATAAGAGTTTTACGATATGTTTGCATTATAATAGTTTACTTGTTTCGCAATGTGAATTCACTTAAAATAATCGATTGTTGTATGTGTTGCTTCCAAATAAATTGTTATTTTACCAACTTTTAGGAATTCCTGTTAAATAGAACATGATTTAGGGGTAGCTATAGTAGCTGATAGTAATAAAAGCTAATAGTAAAAATGATATGTTTTTATGAGATTTTATTTAACAGTCATAGTATTTATGGTGTTGAGTTTAAAGTAAGGTAGTTCGCGTATAATTTTAAATTCAAATTTTATACACTAGTTTGATTTTAATACACTTATTCATTCAAAAGTTTTTTACGTGATAGAGCCATGCTGCAGCTATAATAATAGTATAGTTGTATCACGAATGGGTCGGCTCGACCGGGGAAGGACGACGCTCTCACAAAATACCAGCGTAATCATCATCATCATCATTACAGCCCTTCACAAGTCCACTGCTGAACATAGGCCTCCCCCAAAGAATGCCACAAAGCACGGTCCTGAGCCACCTGCATCCATCGACTTCCTGCAAATCTTACCAGGTCGTCACTCCATCTAGTGGGGGGACGCCCTACACTTCGCCTGCCGGTACGAGGCTGCCACTCGAGAACCTTTCTTCCCCATCGGTTGTCGGTTCTTCGAGCTATATGGCCGGCCCATTGCCACTTCAGCTTACTAATCCGTTGGGCTATGTCGGTCACTCTGGTTCTACTGCGGATATCCTCATTTCTGAGTTTATCACGCAGAGAAACTCCGAGCATAGCCCTCTCCATAGCTCGCTGAGCGACCTTGAGCTTCCTCATCCGGCCAGCAGTGAAGGACCACGTCTCAGTTCCGTATGTCATCACTGGCAACACGCACTGGGTGTACAGTCTCGTTTTCAAGTTTTGAGGTATACCTGACGAGAAGATGTGCCGTAATTTCCCGAACGCTGCCCAACCGAGTTGAATCCGTCGATTGACCTCTCGGTTGAAGTTGGACTTACCTAGTCGGACTATTTGTCCCAGGTAAACATACTCGTCAACAACTTCGAGCTTAGTGTTCCCAACAACTACCGGCATAGGTGTGACATGGACATTAAACATGATCTTTGTTTTGTCCATGTTCATCTTAAGACCTATCCGTTGGGAAACACTATTGAGGTCATTGAGCATAGTGCTTAGGTCCTCCAGCGATTCTGCCATAAGGACTATATCGTCGGCAAATCGAAGGTGAGTGATGTACTCGCCATTGATGTTGATACCGTATCCTTTCCAGTCCAGAAGCTTGAAAACATCTTCCAATGCAGCGGTGAAGAGTTTCGGGGATATGACGTCACCCTGTCTTACACCTCTCTGCAATTGGATAGGTTTCGTACTCTGGTTCTGTACTCGGATAGCCATCGTAGTTCTACTGTACAAGCACTTCAACACTTCGATATACCGACAGTCAACTTGGCATCGCTGAAGGGACTGCAGCACCGCCCAAATTTCGACGGAATCAAAGGCTTTCTCATAGTCCACATACGCCAGACATAGTGGCAAATTGTACTCCTCGGACTTCTGTACAATTTGCCGAAGGGTATGTATGTGGTCTATGGTGCTAAAGCCTTTTCGGAAACCGGCTTGTTCGGGAGGCTGGAAGTCGTCAAGTCTGCGCGCGAGACGATTCGTAATGACTCTCGAAAACAGCACGTAGACGCGGCTCAGAAGGGAAATCGGTCTGTAGTTCTTCAAGAGAGCGTTGTCGCCTTTCTTGAAGAACAAGACCACCGCACTTCTGCTCCACGCCTCCGGTGTAATGCCACCATGGAGGACGGAATTAAAGAGCTTCTGAAGGACTTCAAGTACCGGTTTTCCACCCGCTTTCAGAAGCTCCGCTGTAATTCCATCCTGGCCTGGGGCCTTGCCGTTTTTAAGGTGCCTGAGAGCCATTCTAATCTCGCTCAGACTGACGTCCGGGATATCATCGGAATAATGTCGGATAAGACTCGCTCTTGGATCGTTACTCACACTTGCGTGTGGCTCCAACGATGACGTGTACAGCTGCCCATAGAACCTCTCAATCTCACTCAAAATCTCAGGTGCCCCGGAAACGATGCTGCCACATTCGGTCTTCAGCTTTGACAGTTGGCTCTTTCTGGCAGACAGATCTCTGGCAAAGACTTTGGAGCCTTGGTTCCGCTCGATCGCTTCTTCAATACGAGCTGTATTGAAGTTGCGTAAGTCCCGCCGCATGCATTTGGAGATCTGTCTGTTCAGTTGCCTGTATGCTGTCAAATCTGTTGAAGAATGTAGCTTCATCTCCCGTCTAACAGCCATGAGATTAAGAGTGTGATCGGAGAGTTTTTGTGTTCTTCTGCGGCGGGTCTTGCAGAACTTAGCTCCGACCGCATGGACAGTTTCCACGAGCTTGTCATTCAAATCGTCCACTTCATTGCAGTCTTCTAGGCACTGAAAACGGTTTTGCAACTCGAGCTGAAAGGTTTCGGGACTTTGGATTAGAGCACGATGGGGACGGAGCGTTGACTTCATTAGACGAGACCTCTCCAACTTAACGTTTAGGTTCAGTGTGCCTCTAACCATTCGGTGATCGCTGCCGGTTTTCACCCTCGCGATCACTGAGACATCACTGAACAGTTGTCGTCTGGTCGTCATAATGAAGTCAATCTCATTTTTAGTCGAACCGTCGGGGCTCGACCAGGTCCACTTCCTGTGGGGCCGCTTCTGGAAGAAAGAGTTCATCATAAAGAGTCCTTCTTTCTCCATGAAGTCGGCCAACTGCTGGCCCCTTGGGTTCCGTTGCCCTATTCCAAATTTCCCCACTTTCAGCTCACCGTTCTCTCTTGAGCCTAGTTTTGCATTGAAGTCTCCCATTAACACCGTATATTGGGTTTTGGAGGAATGCATGGCTCTAGAGATATCCTCATACATTTCCTCCACCTCCTGATCGGGGTGTGCCGAGGTTGGTGCGTAAACCTGTATGACCTTCAGCGAATACCGTTTGGTGATTCTGAGTATAAGGTACGCAACCCTCGTCGACACACTCTCAATCTTTACAACGTTGTTAACGAGAGACTTGTGGACGATAAATCCGACACCTCCTTGGGACAGATGGTCGCCCTCCCGGTGATAGAGCAAGTTGCCGGATTCGAGGATTACCGTGTCCTCCCCCTCTCTTCGGACTTCGGATAATCCTATAATATGCCAGCGTAGCTTGTCTATCTCTTCTTCCAGCTCCACAATCTTCTCGTCAGTCCTCAGGGTGCGTGCGTTGTATGTTGCCAGGTCGAGTCCAGCGTAATATAGCAGCTTAATGCTGCTGTGTTTCGTATGGTGAGTGTAGAGAACCGGAGATCCTTTTTACTAGAAACAAGGCATTCTATTTTAGTCCTCACGAGTGACAACGTATCTACTATCTTGATTCGTAATGAAGTATAGCTGAATTTAGATATAGATGTCTATTGGCCACAGCAACCACTTACCATCAGGTGGACTGTGTGGTGTGTGCTCGTTTGTCACCCTTATTCTATAAAAAAAAAATCATTCATTTATTCAAGATTCATTCCTATTACTCATTTATTGTTGCCCAACACAAGTCTAGTATATTGAATATCTATAGTATTGTTGAACGTTTTTTATAGATTGCCTCATAGATGTACACCCATAGATCTAGACAGCTATGTAAAGCCGTTTGCAAACACAGTTCATTATTATTATTGAATTGTTATTAGTAAGTTGTTGCTGTCCACTCCAGTTTCAGTACCATACATATACCACAACAATAATCCTTAGGCTATCACACTATATTGATAATTTTGCTTCATTTTTAGGGTTCCGTACCTCAAAAGGAAAAAACGGAACTCTTATAGGATCACTTTGTTGTCCGTCTGTCTGTCTGTCTATCTGTCAGTCAAGACCCTTTTTCTCAGGAACGTGTGGAGGTATCAAGCTGAAATTCATTTCACTTTCATTCATTCACACATTCGCAAGGGAATCAAAACCTACAGGGTACTTCCCGTGAACTCAGAATCTTGAAATTTGGTACGAAGTAAAGTTTCATAGCACAGATAAAGGAAAAATTGCGAAAAGCATAAATTTTTTGTTACATCATATAATAAAAATATTTTTAATAATTTTAAACTTATATACCTACAGATTTGTTCGGAACCCTCGGTGCGCGAGTCCGACTCGCACTTTACCGGTTTTTTTTTTCAAATTAAAATTTTAACTCCATAAGAATTCTCGGAGCTGTATTCTCCAGTTTTATTTAATCAATAATAAAAATAATTATCGCTAGGGTTTCGCTACACAAATAATACGAGTAATAAAGCGTAATGAGTAATGACGATCTTTTGTGGCATGCCTTCGACGTACAAAGCCAAATTTATAAAACTTTCATCATCATCATCATCATTACAGCCCTTCACAAGTCCACTGCTGAACATAGGCCTCCCCCAAAGAATGCCACAAAGCACGGTCCTTAGCCACCTGCATCCATCGACTTCCTTAAACTTTCATACTTTTGTTTAAATTATTTTTGTTGTGCGTCAATGGTCTGTGTAAAAATAGATTGTTTGTTTGTTTCTTCTTTAGATAAGCAGTGGATCTTTTATAGTCCTATCTATACAAATAAATAAAATTGAAGTGTCTGTTTGTAATGTTAAAATAACAGCTTTTTAATAAATGCATAATATGAATTAGCAGTAATAAATACGGTACTTATAACAAAAACAAAATTTTTAAAATTTTTATCTGTCTGTCTGTCTGTCGGTCTGTCTGTCTGTCTGTCTGTCTATTTGTTCCGGCTAATCTCCGAAACGGCTGGACCGATTACGACGGTAATTTCACTGTCAGATAACTGATTTATAAGGAGTAACTTAGGCTACTTATATTTGAGAAAAAAAAATTAGGGTTCTGAGCAATATAATTAAAATCCTAAATTACACGCGGGAGAAGTCGCGGGGTACAGCTAGTAATGAATAAATTAATAATTAATCGCGTTGATGAGGATATAACTTGAATTGAATAATTCAATTTTAAGCGCTTAGCTTAGCGTATTTCAAGCGCTTTATATTCATAGTGATAATAAGAAGTTATTGTCATTATAAATACCAACTCAGAATAGCAGCTTAATGCGGCTGTGTTTTGTATTGTTAGTGCAGAGAACCGGACGCCTTTTACTAGTAACGAGGCATTCTATTTTAGCCCTCAGCGGTTACAACACATTTACATTTTGATTTTTAATCAAAATGTAAATGTGTTGTATGTGGGTTTATGGGTCACAGATTCTACTTACCATAAGGTGAACTTTGTGCTCATTTGTATTTATTATATAATTGAATTATAAAATTGAAGTGACAAACCAATTTACAGTCAAGCTGATAGTAAATACTGCAGTTCATGGATATCTGCAGATAGAAATAAAGCTACAAAAGACTGACTCATTATTTAAACAAATATTATTAGTGTATCTTAATAAGGTTGATACTCACCACCATAGATAGCAGCGCTCAAACGACCTTTTTCTTCTAAGGGTATCCATTGACTGATTAAATGCTGCATTGACGGGTAAACGAACGACTGTGTCATACCTTGAAGGACGCGACAAGCGCAAACGAACTGCCAACCACCCTGTAACAGATGGATATAAATCAAATGAACAGACTGAATGGTATAAATTAAATGAACAAAATTACAGAAATAAAATGAGATTTATTTATACTATATATAATAACCGTTACCGTTACAGCCTATTAAAATCCACTGTTGAACATAGGCTACCCGTGATTTCCCATAGATAGATCACAGTGAGGATATTTGCCATAGTTTCCAAGCTTGGCAAGCGACTTGGCAATAGCAGGTTTTTAATTTTAATCGTTGTAAGGAAGACACTGCTACCGATCTTCTAATATGTTTCTCTCTGTCGCCTCTTACGACACCCACGAGATGATATGGGGTAGTGCATATTATTACACCGCCACTACACTGTATACGTATGATACAAATTAGAGCTCCTAAATCATGCCTTCGAGAGTTTTTGCCTAAACATGCGTCGGAAGAATGATTATTACTAAATAAATAAATAACTTATCTGAAATTCGCTTTGAGCTATTTTTACCAATTAATTGATATTTCAAGCAACTAATTTTAACGAAGAAGACTTGTAATTTCCCGTTTTTTGTAACACTCCTCTTAAGAAGAATTAGTTTTTAAAAAGTTTTTTCCTTCAGATCTACTACTAACACAAAATATCAATAAGCTTGCATCCATCATTACAGCCTATAAAAGTTCACACTAGAATATAGGCCTCCCCAATTGTATCATAAGAGGGATTTTACCATAGATATAGATACAGGTGCGTTGGCAACCTCAGTTTTTATAATTTTGGAATGTTATGAGGAATATGCTCCTGCCCACCTCTTGCTTCGTTTCCTTATGTCGCGTCTTACGACATCCACGTAACGATATTGCCTAGTGGATATTCTTACTTGATATTTTATCCTCAATTTTGATTCGATTTTTGAAATTAGTCACCTCTTCGTATATGAAATAAAAGCTTATTTTATTGCAGTACTCTTCAGAATCGTCAACATATAAGCATTCAAAGGTTTTAAATGTTACATTTTAGTTATACCCCACAGTTGGATATTTTTTGGATCATGGCGCTTTACAAACTAATATTGTTGTGTAACCAATACTAACATTTATTGTCACTTGCAGGAATCGAACCTGCAGTTCACAACACAGCAACGAAACGTCTCTTAGCCACTGCGCCAAGGCATCAAAATTGTAGCATCTTCTTTAAAAAATATATATTTCAAGTAATTGATATTTAAATTAGGGAATGTGTTCTTATAAAAACTAAAGTATTGAGTAGAATATGTATTACTCACCATATAGGCCCCAGTAGGCAGCAACAGCGACAAAAGTGAATTAACCGAAACTGAGATTGTAATTAGAATTTTTCCACCAAAACGTTTCGCCAACTCTCCCGCAGGTAACATAAGAATGACATAGCCCCAGAAGAATGAAGATAAAATCGTGGATTGTACGCTGTAGCTCCAGTCAAAGTGCTGTTAAAAAGTAAGCTTTAACTTTGGTTCGAAATAATTCTCTGTTCGCGTGATTAGTAAAGTTTTTTTTTGTATATTATATATTATTTTTATTTTAGTAAAATGTTGAGCTATTTGATGTTATTTTTTTATAGAATAAGGGTAACAAACGTACATACAGTCCACCTGATGGTAAGTAGATGCTGTATCCCATAGACATCTATCATCATCATCATCATTACAGCCCTTCACAAGTCCACTGCCTCCTACGAGGAATTCCACAAAGTACGGGCCTAAGCCATCTCCACCCATCGACTTCCTGCATTTCTTTCCAAGTCGTCACTACATCTTGTGAGGGGTAGCCCTACACTTCGCCTACCGATACGAGGCTGCCACTCGAAAACCTTTTTACCCCATCGGTTGTCGGTTCTTCGAGCTATATGGCCGGGCCATTGCCACTTTAGCTTACTTATCCGTTGGGCTATTTCGGTTATTCTGGTTCTACTGCGCATTATCATATCCCCGAAACTCTTTACCGCTGCATTGGAAGATGTTTTCAAGCTTCTGGACTGGAAAGGATACGGTATCAACATCAATGGCGAGTACATCACTCACCTTCGATTTGCCGACGATATAGTCCTTATGGCAGAATCGCTGGAGGACCTAAGCACTATGCTCAATGACCTCAATAGTGTTTCCCAACGGATAGGTCTTAAGATGAACATGGACAAAACAAAGATCATGTTTAATGTCCATGTCACACCTATGCCGGTAGTTGTTGGGAACACTAAGCTCGAAGTTGTTGACGAGTATGTTTACCTGGGACAAATAGTCCGACTAGGTAAGTCCAACTTCGACCGAGAGGTCAATCGACGGATTCAACTCGGTTGGGCAGCGTTCGGGAAATTACGGCACATCTTCTCGTCAGGTATACCTCAAAACTTGAAAACGAGACTGTACACCCAGTGCGTGTTGCCAGTGATGACATACGGAACTGAGACGTGGTACTTCACTGCTGGCCGGATGAGGAAGCTCAAGGTCGCTCAGCGAGCTATGGAGAGGGCTATGCTCGGAGTTTCTCTGCGTGATAAACTCAGAAATGAGGATATCCGCAGTAGAACTAGAGTGACCGACATAGCCCAACGGATTAGTAAGCTGAAGTGGCAATGGGCCGGCTATATAGCTCGAAGAACCGACAACCGATGGGGAAGAAAGGTTCTCGAGTGGCAGCCTCGTACCGGCAGGCGAAGTGTAGGGCGTCCCCCCACTAGATGGAGTGACGACCTGGTAAGATATGCAGGAAGTCGATGGATGCAGGTGGCTCAGGACCGTGCTTTGTGGCATTCTTTGGGGGAGGCCTATGTTCAGCAGTGGACTTGTGAAGGGCTGTAATGATGATGATGATGATGATGACTGCGCATTACCTCATTTCTACGAGATTCTATAACCAGTGAGTGTTGCTAGTTATGACTTATGGATCTGAGAAGCAGCCGGCCGGATGAGAAAGCTCAATGCCGCTCAGCAAGCTATGCAGAGCGCTAGGCTCGGGATTTCTCTGCATGATATACTTAGACATAATATATCTTTTATCCTTAATTAAGTGTTAAAATGCAGATGCATTGTCGCCCCTGAGTACTAAGATGTACGCCTCTTTAACAGTAAAAAGGGTCTCCAGTTCTCTACACTCATGTTTTTGTGTTCTCTTTAGAATTTTTGTAATAACGTGCAAAATGAGGAATAAATTAATAACAATAAAAAAATCTTATTTAAGAAGAAAAGCTAAACAGCCACGCGGAAGCGATGTAAGGAAGTCCTATAGGAGATGTAAAAACCTGACGGTGTTTTAACCATCTTATTTACGCCTGTCGATAAGACCGACGACAAAGAGCAGCGTAAAAAGTACGAGTCGTCTGATGCTTTTTATAGAAATAAGAGGGACAAACAAGCAAGCAGTCTACCTTATAGTAAGTAGATGCTGTGGGCCATATCTAAGGGAGACTGGGTAAATCACGTAATGCGGGTGATGACTAGTGGCACTTACTAAGGTACAATTAAAAAAAGAAAATTTTTTTATGATGTAATTGATAGTCCAGCACGAAACTAGTGCCAAATAGTAAGCGGTATGAGGAAACGATTGCTACACAAGGTAAGTTTATTAGAATTTACGTTTAAAATTACATTTAGTAATTGAGTGAAATGAATTAGTTGTAAAGTATTTTATACATGTGCGGAAATTCGTGATTATTTTGGTGAAGTTATTTTGGTTTTATACATTTATCAAGCAATATTTAAAAAAAATGTGCTTCTAACGAAAGAAGTGACTGAATGTAACAATTGTAATAACAGTGAGAAGAGTCTTTAAAAGATTTACAAAGGATAAAATGATACAAAATATTGTACTGTGTCAAAGGAAAGAATGTCATCAAAGAAAAAGCTTTGAAAGAAAATGAGTATCATTGCCTAGTTTGCGCTGAAAATTACAAAGATCCCCCTAATAAAGACTGAATAAGAAATGTTATAAACGTAGTTTATGGGTCCATAAAATATACCCACGTTGTAAAAACACCCTATGAACTGAAGATTTATTTGTAAGTTTATGATTTAACTATGTTCCTGATTGCTCCATACGTAATATACACATTATTCGTAATATACGCTGCGATTAATGCCAAAGTGTTAAATTAAACACCAAAGTTTAATTGATAAAAATTTATCTAATTTAAAAAATTTTGCTCTTTTGATTATGAGAATTTATGGCTGAATATATCTATAATATAAAAATGAATGTGTTGCTAAGCGCATATCTCTAGAGCAGCTGAACCGATTTCGCTAATTCTTTTTTTATAATATTCCTTGAATTACGAAGATGGTTCTTACGGAGAGAAAAATTTAAAAAATTGCCTGAAAAAATCTAAAAACAACACTTTTCTATATTACCATACAAAAGATTCGTAATAATACTTAAAAGTCAATTTGAACTTTAATACCAAACCATAAAGTTTAAGTGTTAGTGGAGGGGTTCCGGGAAGGCAAAACAATGGAGTGACGTTAGTACTACCGTTGGGGCTGTAATGACTGTAGTTGGCTTCTTGCCCACAGAACATCTAACTTCGAATGAAAGTGTTAACTAAGGTTTTCATAGATCCCCAAATTTCTGATAATACGTGTTTATTATTATTTTATTCGTGGTAGACTCAAGCCAGCTATATTTTGGTTGGAGTACGTATGGGTTGTTATGGACATAGTACAATTAACTTACAGTAGGTAGCGCGCATTGTCATTCCTAATAATAAATTTAAAACGATATTACCATAATTATTTCTTCTGCGGCTGCAACGCGCCGGTTACCAGCAAGTTTTTAATAAATATTTAGTAATAAACTGAACTTTTACTTTATTTTATTTCGTTTAATACATCTATACATTATTAGGAATAACAATGCAGACGCATTGAAGTAAAAAAAAAACTCGTTGACAACTAAGAGATGCAATGTCCTTTTGCCAATAACAAGGTTTCCAGTTCTTGTCACTCACCATAGGACACAAAGAAACATTATGGCAGTGGCATAGCATTACAGTAACTGTAAACTTTTATACGATGGTATTTTATTTCTAGCATTCCTGATCAATCCAATCCAATCGTGCTGCAACCATAATACACTAAAGCATGATTCTACTACGTAAAAGTTAAGGCATCTTTCCATCAAAGAAAGAGGAACATTCAAAATAGATAATGATACTACTAAATATAAAAGAACCACAGTGGCTCTATAACAAATACGTATTCATTACTTTTATGCCCAGCATTATACATTACAGCGGCCGATATTGCACATAAAACATCACAGATAATGTCAACGTAATGACTTCTCATAAATTGTTATCAATCTCTGAGATCAATTTATGTAACACGCACGTGATAATGCTTATTGTTAGATACGCATCCGAATTTTGATAGTCAATTATCTCTACATTGTCATTGTCATTGCTCCAATTTGACAAACGATTTTCATTATTACTCGTATTTTGTACATAATTTTACAAACTTTTATTTAATTTAACTTGTTTTATCATATTATGTCTTTCCGGCTCTAATTTTGTACTCAATTTTTGAAGCACTTTCTGATTTCCGATTGCGGTAAAATCTCACACACTAAAGTAACTTTGATGAAAATACAAAATATGGTACCGGATGATATAATATATAATAATCTACGCGGATGATGGGCCCGGATGCTGGCTCCAATAACGCCTGTAAAAGTTTGTTATAAAATAGATTTTATATTTAATTAAGTTTAATTAACGACTATATCATTATTTTGTAATAAAAATTACTTTTTTCTTTCTCTTATAGTTAGTTTTTAAAAAATCATTTTGTAATTACCCATTAACCCTTATAAGCCTCGTGAAATGAGATGGTACATTTTTTACCACAGGACTAAATATGAAAATTCAAAGAATAGAAGAGAATAATTTTTAATTAATATAGATTGCAAGAATACTTATTGAAAGTCATTTTATACTTTTACTACTGGTTCAAAATAAAACATCAGTCCTTGTAAGACATAGGAAGAAACACAGCGGAATATATTTTTAAATATGAAAACATTTAATGTTTTCTTATATTTACGCGAAGACTACACATAAAATGAAACAAATTTTTACGGATTTTATCGCGTTTAATTTGCTTTTTAATTCCCTACGTTTCGAGTACTTTATAGCACCCATGGTCACAGGGGGATTGAGGATTTTTGACGTCCCGATGTCATAGTTAGCCCGGCTACCTTCAGCACACGTGTAAAGAACTTACTCTTTACTCTGTGCCTTCAGTTTTTGAATATTAATTTTTGGTCCGCTCTACGCAGAATGAGCTTACAGTATCTTGAAGTCTTGCAGTGTTATGCTTGGGTTTGGATTTAATTTTATTAATTATAGGATCCCAAGCAGATGGCAGCACCCATCCATCTTCACTGTTGAAATAAGGATGTTTTTTAATTTCAATAGCCTCGTGAACCATCCTCGGTAGCAATCGGTGTTCATTTGCGAGGACTTGTGGTCTATCAAATCTAATGTAATAGCGAGGACGATCTAGAACATATGTACACACTGCATACTTCCCGGAACTTTGGTGCTTCAAGTCAGCTATATGTTCTTTCTCGCTGGTTTTAATAGGTCTTGTTGTTTGTCCTATGTAGGAGCGACCACATTCACAATCTAGCTTGTACACCCTTGCATCTTGTAGAGGGATATGACACTTGACGGATGGTAAAAATTGACTAATCTTCTTCGGTGGCTTGAAGTATGTCTTAAGACACTTTTGGGGTCATATGACAGCTACCAAGCTTAAAGATAGTGTTTAAAAATTAGACTTACGTCATCTCTAGTAACATCAGTCATTTCTACTATTGCCATACTAATGTTTACTCGCATGGTGTATGCAAGAAGCACAGCGAGAAACAATAGAAATGTTTGAGCGTGACGAACTCCAAGCTTTCCTGAAATTTTGTAAAATTAAAAAGAAATTAAAATGCTAAGAGCTTTATTAATTACTCCCTTTAACCACTCCCACTAAGCTTAAATTCTTGTGTTAGGTGACACTTAAGTTTCTTAATTGTTTATAGAATTAGTATGACGAATGAACACATAATCCACCAGCACCACACTCCAAGCACACAGTTCACCTGATGGTAAGTGGATATGATTTTATGTCACCCCTGAGGACTAAGATAGAATGCCTTATCACCGGTAAAATGGTCTCCGGTTTTCTACTCTCACCTTGCTAAATACAGCAGCATTAAGCTGCTATTTTTTGGTGGTATTCTGTGCCTCTTTTGCCCGCAGATGTATTAATTCTTCAATTATTTGGAGTCAAATAATTTTTTTTCAGATACCTGCTAGATGTGCAGATTTTTGATTTATACATTTCGATTGATCTTTTTTTATTACAAGGTAACGATGTTACCTATACATCTATACACATACATATATATATATATATATATATATGTAATATATATATATATATATATATATATATATATATATATATAAAATTGATGTGTCTCACTGTTATGTTGAAATAACTGCCTTATATTGAGGTGAAGGGCTTATTTTAATGTCTTTAACCCGTGAATAACAAATGTTATAATTTTTGTATCTGTAGCTGTCTGTACGGGCTAATCTTCGGAATGAATAAAGCGATTATGATGAAACTCTACAAATAGATAGAAAAGAGTACCAGGAGTGATCTAAGCTGCATTTTATTAAAAATACTTTAGAGTTTAGAAAATGTATAAAATAATGGTCTTTTATTATTTTAAATGTAAATAACGACACATTATTACTCAGACGAAACCGGAGAAGATCGCTAGTACTTAAATAATATTCCTCAATGTTAGTTTTAAACTGAATTAAAATGCACAAAAAAATTGACTTACTTGGGCGTACATTTTCAGTTTCAGCTATTACACCCATATTTATACTTTACTTTAATAATAATAATAATAATCTTTATTGACATTTTTATAGTTTACATACTTTTTACAAATATATGCAATACATCAAGAGGACTAATTTGAAAATGGGTAGAATCCTGAGTCTCCTAGCTAGGTTACTTAGTAACCTGTATTTAGGAGATACAGACCTATCCCCCCTTTTGATTAGGAATACATAGTTGTATTGTTTAAATTTTTGCATGTAAAGAAAATAAAATTTTAAAAAGACAATAAACTGATCTCTGAGTGTGTGTGTTGTGTTGTGTTGTGTTGTGTTGTGTGTGTGTGTGTGTGTGTGTGTGTGTGTGTGTGTGTGTGTGTGTGTGTGTGTGTGTGTGTGTGTGTGGGTGTGTGTGTGTTTGTGTGTGTGTGCTCGTGCGTGTGTATGTATTAAGTAGAAAATTATATAAAATAAATATACCACAATACGACATAATATTTTTTTTTTATAACAATGTCAATAAGTATTGTTCCGTATCATCATATGACTTATTTAGCAGGAAAGAGCGGACAGCAGTTTTACAATTAAATGTTGACATTTCATAAATCTCTATTTTCGCATTCATTTTGTTATAAAGTAAAGGACCTAATACTTTACTTGAGTTCTTAGGAATATATTAACAGTTTTAATGTGAGTTGGACCACTGTTAACACAGGTGTTAAACATATGTATTGGTCGCTTGAGTATCAATAGTAAACTAAAGATCCAATTGCAAAAGATATTCAAGCATAAACTGTGTTATCATTTGCCATCGTTTAATCTTATGGACCATTTTTAAATCTATATTTAATTTTTATTCATCCGACTGCCTCAGTGTGTTTTGTATTGACTTGTAAGTTATTGTTTTAAAATATTTGTTTTCCTTATCTCATTTTTCATAACATAAGGATAACATACGAGCACGCAGATCACCACCGGTTAATAAACTTAAAAGAATAATGTAATTTTCCGTAGAGAGTTTTAACTTTTTTAGGTTTAATTGTGATGTATTGTTTCCAGGTATCTTCGACCACTAATCGAATAACCGAAATAGTTCTGATACCTCAATTTATCATTATTGGATATGAGCCTTGGGAACAGTTTCAATTATTAAGACAAAGAGTTATTGCATATCTCTATCGGGTATGTAAAGGAATGTAGATTATGCTAGTGTCTCTTTATGCCTCGTTGATGTAAACTTCCCTAGAGATTTTATAAACGAGCGCATATTTCACCTGATTGTAGGTGTATACTGATGTGGCCCATAGACGTAGGTCTATTTTCGGCTAAGAATTAAAATACAGATCAGACGCATTGTCAGGCCAGACGATTGAGATGTCATGCCCCGTTTCCAGTAAAAAGAGTCCACTATATGGAGGGATGAACTGTGTGGTGCAGGGGCGTGGAACGTGTTTTGTAACATCGCTAAGCAGTACTCACCGTGGTAAATGCGAAAGAAAATGCAAAGGGATGTAACATCTCTGCGCAGTGCAAATGAATCGAGCCGATCGCCGATCGGCGAGTCGGAAAGGACTCGGTCGTCGACGAGTCGAGCCGCTCTGTGCTTGATGCGGTCAAGTGGAAGGAGCTGGCACTGGGGAGCTCCTGTCCAGAGATGGGAACAGTATTCCATGTGAGGCCGAACCTGCGCCTTGTAAAGTTGCAGGCGGTGTGCCGGCATGAAATACTGTCACGCTCTGCTGAGCACGCCAAGCTTTTTAGAGGCTTATTTGACCTTCTCTTCCAAGTGACTACGAAACTGTACGTCACTCGATATGTCGACGCCGAGGATACCGATACTGGCTGGGGCAACAAGGGGAGTGCCTTGAAAATAAGGAGATACGACAAAGGGGTTATTTTTAGCAGTAAATGCACAAACTTGTGTCTTCTGAGGATTAAACTGGACTAGATTTAGTCGCCCCCAATCCAAGACTTTGTTCAGCAAAGACTCGACTTTAGACACAAGTTTGGTCCGGTACTAGGTGACATTTTCCCGAGAAATATTGGCACGGCCGGTGTATAGAGCATCACTAATGCTGTCATCCGCATAGCAATGAATGCTACCAGTTTTCAAGATATCATTGATATGCAGAAGAAACAGCGTTGGTGATAGCACGCAGCCTTTTGAAAGACCAGCGTTAATAGGCTTGTAGTTGGAGCATGAACCATCTACAACGACCTTGATGCTCCAATCTGCAAGAAAGCTGGTGATCCAATTGCACAATTTTTCAAGAAACCTATAGGAAGGGAGCTTCGAAAGAAGCGATTTGTGCCAAACCCGACCGAAGGCCTTCGTAATGTCCAAACTAACGGCCAATGCCTCCCCCTTGAACTCTACTGCCACCGCCCATCTATGAGTCAAATAGACCAGAAGATCATGAGCTGATCAACACCGACGAAAACCATATTGGCGGTCACTAATCAGCTGTTGATCCTCAAAGTACCAGTAGGGTACTGATGAATATCAAGAACTGCATTTCAAGGAATGGATAACTATTTGTATTTAACGCAATAATTATGTAGAGATTTATGTTCTAATTAAAGTTAGTTGATAAAAGTCTTGTTTGTTGATTTAAAAAAAAACTGACTTTGCGTTATATTTATTTGAACACATGTATTTCGTCATTTATATATATGCTAAACTTCATTTAACATTAGTTGTGTCACATGTTCTCTCTCCGATAAAAATATACAATTAGCTCAGTACCATGATTTGTGTGTATATCATGAGCAGGTATCTGTTCAGCGGCGGACTTATGAAAGGTAGTAATGATATCGGTGATGATACCACCATCTATTCGAAGACACGAAGGCTTACTAGTCTTTCCCCTAATTAGCAAGTTCCGTTAACTGCCACAAATATGTACCCGAACACGTTTGTGGTAGTAAATTTAAATTAAAATTTCCTAATCAAGATTTCAAGAGAGAGGGAGAGGGAGAGAGAGAGAGAGAGGGGGAAAGAGAGTAAGATGCTCACTCTGAAGCCTGTACCTAGTTGTAAGGTGGTAAAGTGTGTAATGTAATTACATATAATTTACATACATGTTTTATTATTTACATACCTACATATCAATTGTGGAAAAGATGGTAAAATGCCCGTAGATTTACTCTTTTAACTTCAAAACAAAACACTATAGTGATTGTGCTGTTTTTCCGCTACAATATTAGCTAATGATGCAAATGGACTGCTAATAAAACGCACGCACGCACGCACAAACGTACACTCACACACACACACACACACACACGCACACACACACACACACACACACACACACACACACACACACACACACACACACACACACACACACACACAATCTGTAGTACTAAAAATTTAAGAGCATTTTCTTTTGTTTCCTTCTTGTAAGGGGGTAAGGGACTGAATCTCCTTAATACAGGCTATTTTATAGTCTAGCAAGGAGAACAGAACGTCACCCTCACTAGAGACGCCCCGGGCGTCGGGGGCTACGACGTGGCCCCCGGCCACCGTAGGCGCGGGCCTGTGGACGGCGAGCAATGGGTAGCTCGCCGTCCGTCCGTCTAACGACGACAGGCCGTGTCGACGGCGCGTTTTGTTCCACGCGCCCCTCAAAGAGCTGTCAGCAGCGTGAAGGGGCCCGCAAGGGCCGACGCCTGCCGGGGCTGCGGGCTGTTCGAAAGAGATACCGCGGCTCCGGAACGTAAGGGCACTGAAGGAACACGGATGGTTTTTAGTCAGTAAAAGTCTGACACTCCCTTCCGCTCCACCCAGAGCGAAAGGCGTCATTTGATGATTTTCAATCCGCAAAAAAAAAAATACCCTCACTAGTATTTTTACCTAATTTTTATTATTTCATGTAAGACTTTTTTTTCTCTGTATGTACTACATGTTTAAAGTTTTTTAATAAATTTATTATTATTATAATTATAACAAGGCTCTACTACGAGTAAAGAAAATAGCGTTATCTTTTTTTTAAGAGGCTGACAAATAAACTTAAACTTAAATTCTACTGGCGTTGCTAAATAAAAAAAACTGCGGTTGTCCTGATTGCTAAGAGGCAATCTATAGAGTAGGAATGTGCTCAGCAGTAAAATTTTAATATGCTGTAATGGTACTTATTTAGTTTTCGAATGATAAGATCTAGATTATGTTTGATCTCATCACAACAATATCTTTTCTCAATCTAAATTCTAATATTCAAGTAGTACATATTGAAAGACATTCTGATAACAAAGATATGAAAGCAATAAAAAATTTATACGGATTTTTATCTGGATGGTATTTTAAAACATTTGAACACAACATGTGCACTGCACACCTACATATAAGGGCAATAACAATAATACATTAGTAGTAGCAGTGCACTATGTAGTGTCAATGTGAGAAAATCCACTACCCCATATCGTTCTGTGGGTGACGTAAGCGGCGACAGAGGGAAACAAGCTAAAAGATATGCAGCGGCGTTTGGAATAACAACTAGAAAATAAAAATTTGCGGTTGCCAATCTGCCCGCTAAACGTAGCAACTAAGGCAAATAATCCCCTTATGAGGCAATCTTTGAGGAGACCTATGTTTAGCAGTGGACTTTGGTATTAGAATAGTGAACTACCACAGTGCAATAGTACAATAATCAAGGTTGTCGGTGGAAGCACGTGTGTTAACCTTCACACAATTCACACATGCACAAAAAAGAACTTGATTTCACTGTTTTTCAGTGCAATAAGCACTTTATTTATATGAGTAAAATATTTGAAACGATCACAAATATTGTAGATTGAACACTAAATAAGGTAACGTTCGCCTCTGCGAAGCTCTTGCTTTTACCACAAAGTCTCGCTGTTTATTCTTGCACACGTGTACAAGACAGTGTTGCCATTACATAAACTTTGGATTATAATGTTATTGTTGCAAACAATATTAGTTATTTGAAATTTATTAACCATTGTGACCTGTTTTAATCTTTCTGGTTCTATTTAATATTGCCGCCATATAAACTACCCTTTTCAGTCACTTATGT